TTCATGCAGTGGTGTAGGATTTCTTATCACACCAGTTTGCAAGTACCCTCTTGTTTCTTTACTTTTGTCCTATTCAATCCTACTACTTTTTCATTTTTAATGTTTTTTTATTTATATAATTAACAATGATGGCTGACATGTAATCAAATACACATAATAAGATTATTAAAAAATAAAAATTAATGAATGGTTCACGCCTACCCTCCTCTCATAATAATTATTAAGATTATTTAATTATTTATGAATCATAATGGGAGGAGCGAGGAGTGTATCAACCTGAAGATGATTCAAGTGTTGTTAGACTTTACAATGCAACCACTAGCAGCACAGAAACAGTTGGAAGAATAAGAGCAGACTCCATTAGTGAATCAAATATCAGAATAACTGGTTCAAATAGCCAGAGAGAAATTGAGCGAATGCAAACAAATGATGTTTTTATGGTACATCTAATAACAGGTACACATAACATAATTAACAAAATTAAAATAGATTTTTTATCTAGACCCTCCGAACTGCTTTCAAAATGTTTTCACTCAAACTGAAATTAATACAAACAGTCTATCAGTTACTAATGTAATACCAGTCAATGATACAAGAGCTTTTCCTGATATACAGTTCACATGTAGTGGTATTATTACTAACTGGATAATTGGTATTACACAAAATCAGGATACAAGCAAACATTATCCTAACATTTATTTAAAACATTCTTCTGAACTGATTCATGCACTAACTGTTGATGCTTCTGCTGCTACATCAAGTAATGGTAATGTATATAACTTTACAAGTGATATTGAAGTACAGTATGGAGATATATTAGTAATCAATGTAACCACTAATAGTAATCCAATGTATTATCAACAATACAATGGGCCATTGAATTATGAGCTTGATAGCAATAATGGATTAATACCATTGGAACATAATGACTATCCACTGATATCAGTTGTAGTAGGTAAGGTCACAAGGATTTGTACTGAATGGTTTTTAATAATTATATTTATTCTTTAGAGCCAATAACTGATTTCCTGTCTTCTACTCTTTCTTCCACTGCTATTACAAATACAATAATAAGTAAGCATTTACAAATACACCACCCATAGTTCCTGGAATACTGAACTGCTACTACTAGCAACATATCATTCATTCTTTTCATTAATGTAGGCTTTGCCACATTAAGAAGCTTTACAGCTGCCGTATCAACAGAATCAACAGAAGGTAAGCAAACATCTGCTACTACATCAATGAATAACATTCCAATAGTTACTTTTAGTGCATTAACAAGCTCAATGATGAGTACACCAGTTAGTACATTACAAAGTACAGGCAATAATACACTAATAATAGCAGGAAGTATTAGTACAGCAGTATTTATATTACTGGTAGTTACTATACTAGTAATATTAATAGTGAGTGTATTAGTGTGTAGGAGAAGATGGAATAAAACATCAAATGGAAATGATACTTTCAATTTTGTTGAAAGGAAAGCTGATAAAGATCAACAATCAGATGGTAAGAAAGTTAATATATGACATACACATTAAGAATGCATAATACTATATATGAATAATATAATTTAATTTGTATAGGACAAAGAATGAATATTACACTAACATCATCAACTAATCCTGCATATGGAGTTTCTGGTGAAAGTAAGAACTTTAAATAGTCTATAGACAGTCCTGCTTAATATACTGAAAATAAGATTTTAATGTATTTATTAATAGCTTCTGGTGTATCTACTAATCCTGCCTATGGTATTAACATTGGAGGAATAGAAAGTATGTGTATATTTATGATTGATAGTAGAGTATGTTGATGTGTATGTGGTGAACTATAGGTATTGATGAAGAATCATTAGTATATGATCAACCAAGAACAATGATGTATAATAAACAAGAGGTATAAGTTAATACACTATTGTGATATTTATTTATTGCATAAAACCATTAGCTTTAGGTCATATTAAATTATTTATTAATATCTATAAGTTGCATCACAATTAATAGGAGGATTTTAAATTAGTTAGTATGGGTATAGTCAGTCATTCGGAATCCTACTTGCCACCATTGTTTGCATTACATTTGATTTAAGCACAGAGTGAAACTTTAATCTTTTTTAAAGTTTTGTATCATAATTTAATTTTGTGTTATTATTTATAACTTCAATTGGTATAGGATATAGAGTACATTATCAATGATCGTACACCATCAATTTTCGGACACTTGTTTTAGGAAAACTATACATTGCCATCTCATGAAACTGCAAAGTATTATAGCAATAGTTATCCTTTATTTGCGTGACAAAACTTGTAGCTCTAGCAAGAGTGCATAGAAAGTTATAAGCTCTCAAAGCGTGGTGTCCGACAATA